CTTGAGGAAGCAAAGCCTACTGGAACCCACTCCAGCTGTTGCTGAGAAAATCACTAACAGAAAATGCCACGTTAGTCACCCGTGATTTAGGCGGGTGGAGGGGAAACTAAATCAACGAGAAGAAGGTGGAGAATAGAACTAGGCCAGTGAGTACTAAAGGAGGGAATGAGCCCTTGACAGATGGAGAGTTAGTGAAACAACTCTTAGAAACAAATGCATAATTAACAAGAAAAAAAAATCTGACTGTACAGTAAAGGGAGAGGATGCTGGACAAAATGACCAGTGTACAGTGTGACCACTGGTGGACATGTTGTAGTCTTGAAATAAATAGAATGCAAAGACAGTAAGATAGAAGTATCAAAAATGACATACACACATAAACGAAGACAACCTTTAAGAAGCAACTTACACAAAGCACTTGAGTGCCTAAAAAATTCAATAGTGGCTCCATGTTTCAAAAACAGACCTCCTGCTTTAAGAGGAGAGTTAGGATGAAAAGTGTGTGTAGATGGCCTCACACTTAACCATTATATATTCTTTTGCACCATCTCATTTTTATTTAAAGTTCTCTAAACCATACACTGATTCACAAAACATATTCTACTGACTTTAATAAATAGCATACTACAATATTATTCGATTTTTATTTAGCTTAGGGATTATAAGCAAGAAAAGAACACTTACGGATAATCATTAAAGGCTGATCTCCTAATTAAATTAGGGCTGAAATTCTATGTGTGAACTTAGGTTGAGAATAAATAATATTAGATTGTACACTGGAAATTATATTATCTAGAAACAAACTAGTCAGCTATTTTAAAGTCCACCTATCCTGAGACAAAGTGGAGAGGTTGCAGGAAGAGTTTTTTCTTTTTTTAAAAAAAAAAAGGAGATATGCTTTCACTCCCCTTGGAAGACTACCAGACGGAAGAAATATGGTACTAGCCTGGACACTCCCACATCTATTACATCAACTCAAATCAAAGAAAAGGAGTACTTTAGAGCCCACCTTTCCTTTTAAAGGGTTAAAAAAATTAAGGCAGATATGCTTGTACTCCTGTTGCAAGTTCTGGATAGCTAAGATAGGTAAGATAAACATTCAAAACAATTCATGACTACTAAAAGCATAATTTAATTCTATCATATAGAAAGAAAAGGATGAATTAGTTAATAAAATTGATGCTGCCACAAGTGGTTCCTACTCAGTAGGAAAAGTTACATTGTCCACCACACATACCACTTATAAAAATATTCCAGATGGACTAAAGATCTAAAGGTAAAAAAAGGAAACACTAGAAAGAAAATCTGAAGAATATTTATACAGGCTCAAGGTGGCAGAGGTGAGGGTGGGTGTCTTCTTCCCAAGCAGTTAAACCCAGAAGCCGTTAAGAAAGGTCTAACAGACCTGACGATATAAACATTTTATTTTTCTATGTGGCAAAGCAACCCTTAAACAAAGTTAAAAGACAAATGAGAGAAATGATACTCTTGACAGGTAAAGGGGTTAATGTGCCAAATACAGAACTTGAGCAGAATAAAAAAACTTCCATTTTTCAAACAGGCAAACACTTGGCATAAATAACTCATAAAAGAAATGTAAGAGACTAAAAAACACAGAAAAAGATCAGTGGTCATGAAAGTGCTAGATACTATTTTTCACTCATCAGATTGCAGAAAATGACAAAGACTGATGACAGCAGAGACCACAAGGATGAAATGAAACAAGCACTGCCTGCATGTGGGTGAGCGTGTGAGATGCTGCGATCTCACAGGAGAATAAACTGGGATCACCTATACACATGTACTCCTTAACCCAACACTTTCACTCCTGGATGGCTAAACTAGACATAAAGCCACGATTACATAAAGACTAACTGCACTGTAAGTGCCCCCAAATTTAAAATACCTTGAATGCCCATCATAAAGGGAAATGATTGAATAAATCATTGTACATCCATTCTATAATGTAGTTATCTAAAATGATGAGTAAGGTCATGGGTACTGATACTCATGGTCTAATGTTAAATGGAAAGAAAAAAAAAGACACAGGCTACAGATATTGCACAGTATGATAGCGTTTGCTTAAAAAACAAAACGAAAAAAACCCCCACTATTTGTATAGAGAGAAATGTTTTTATATTTTTGTACCAGTATTAAGAAGACACACAAGGAGCTTCTTCAACAAGTGGAAGTTGCTAAAGGATGCAGATTGTTGACCTTCCTGTGTATACTCTTGGCATTTTGACATTCTGCAAAATGCAAGTTTTGCTTTTATTATCCCCAAAAGAAAAATCTATTTTTTTGTGTGTTACCATGCCTACATATGTGACGGTCCCAAGGTCTCTGTCACATGGACCAACAACGATCCAGAACACAAAGAGGACACAGTGTTAGAAAGGCAAAAAAATCCATAATACTAATTTTGCAACTAGACTTTTTTTTTCAAATATAACAAGCCTATTTTGAAATACAAATAAAGTTACTATTACATGAAGAGGGGAAGGAAAAAAAGATGTTTAATTACTTAATTCAAAATCTCAGTACTTATTTCTCAGCATAGCTTTGGTGAGGAAAATGCCCAGCTATCAAATTCTTTTCAACAAAACTCTTGATCAAGAAAGATCCTGATTTATGGCTTTAGTAATTTAAAAAAAAAAGGGGGGTGGTTCATTAGTGAATCAGGACTACATTTTGAAAGATCTCTGGATCAAAATTATTTAGAAAGAGAATATTAATGGAGCCTAAAATTGCAAAGTGTTTGCAATCACTTCAAAAACTCATTCATTCAACCCTCAATTACTCATCCTTAACAGGGGGCGCCCTGCCATGCATTACTCAAAACCAGGCATGCCTGAAAACATCTTAAACATAACTGAATGAAAATCTGTCCAATCACAGGCCAGCTGCTTGCAAACTCCACCCTTGAGTACAGGAAGAACACTTTTGATTGGAAGACAGTTGTGTTTACTACGGTTGTGTGGTGCAAAATTGGAAAGGCACACATGCCAAGGGTCCAAAGGAAATCTCTTTAATGAAAAAGGAAAACAAACGGACAGTTCTGATTCTATATTAGTTGTTGTCATTAACTGAACCTCATCATCACAGCAGCAATTCTTGAGCAATTCTGCAAGCTAGTAAAATATTTTAAAGGCTGAGTTTTGTTGTCGCTTTTTTCTCATCTATGTTCCTTGATTATACATACGAGACAAGCATAAGCCTATTCTTAAAACCCCAAACTGCCTTTGCTTCTAAATGCATACAGCTCCATCCAAGACCTCAACACAGTTGTTAACACTTTGTTTTGAATCACTGAAACTTTTTACTTGGTTTAAGAAACCAGTTCCATGGGCCCAGTGGCACAATTCTTCAGTATTTAGCTTAGTAGGTGTCCAGCATCTCAGTGAGCTTCAAAAACCACTGCCCTTTGGGAGCTCAGCAAACAACAAAGTGAATGGGTAGCCATTTCAGGTGCAGAGCTCATTAGCAATTCATCTCATGGAGGAAACAACTAGAACAGAAAACTTCGACTGAAACGCTAGGACAGACTAAGTTTTTAGGTCAAAATATGCATTTAATGGTGGATCTTAACCTAAGTTTTGCGTTCAAGGTGGTAAATTACTGGATCTAAGAGGGACACCTCCCCCCCCCACCCCTCCCCCGTCTTAACCTAAAAAGCAATCTTCTAAAGAAATCGCAAAGGAATTTAACTCCAAATCCCCTTGCTTAATCATCCTCTTCACCTCATTATAGTCCTGATATCTCTTTAAAAAATTCGCCCCACTAAAGCCTCATAAATGTCCAAGCAGCTTTTTCTTAAAGCCAAAGCCAGCCACAAGCAAAACAACCCAGAAGACTTCTATATGGGGCGGTACGGGGAGTCTAAAACCACTCATCGATAGGTAGAAAAATGAGTATCAAAAACCTGCAATGTTAACATCAAATCTTACAAAATGAATTCCCGTTTACAGCGAAAAAAATAATCTGCAAAAGCAAGTTCATCAAGAAAATTTTCCTTCTACCTGCGGATCTACCACAATCTAAAAGAATCCCCCTATTTTTCACAGCCTTATCTCAACACAGGGCCGCTATCAGAATGAGGAACTAAAGAGGCTTGCCAAAGTTCAAAGACAACATTTCGTCGCTACATTAACAAAAAATAACACATCACGGACACGAATGCTAGTTAAGTTCTATTACTGAACAACTTTAATCACAAAATACACCAAGACCAGTATTCAAAAGTGGCCATGCCCCAACATAAAGTTTCAAAACAAAACCTCTCCCAAGGTTTGGGGGAGTTGCCCAGCTCGGAGATAAAAAGCACCACCCAACAGCCCCATTTGTCTGCTAAGGCAGATCTCAAACTTATCAAAAGCAGCCACTAAGGCAGCTCCTGTCACCCAGAAGCGCGAAGAGAGAGGAGCCTGAAGAGAGCTGGCCTTTCTGGAGACAGCCTGGCCGAGTCTGGCTCAGACAAGGAGGAAGTAACTGCCAGATAAAAAGGCCCTGAGCAGCTCTAACTGCAGCCTCTCCCACAAGTGCCCACATTCCCGCCCCATTCGGGGCTCCGGGAAGAAGGGAACAGGGCGCAGGTCTCCCACGAGAGGCTGGAGACTACAGGTCCGCTTCTTCCAGGAGGCAGCGGCACATGGGCAGAACTCTAAGGGGCCCCGGAACCTAGGGTGCTAGAGCCTGCTCCGTAGGAGTGTTGGGGGGGACGCTGAGAAAGGGGTCGCTCAGGAGGCGGGGCCTGCCGAGTGGAGGCAGCATTTCCTAGCGCCCTGGCTGCCCCCCGAGGTAAACCGGGGCGCGCACCCCGACGCGGAAGCCATGCTGGTCAGAGCTCGGGGTGCTGAGGAGCCGGCGGGGGGCGCTGAGGAGATCTGGGGGCGCGGAACTGGGTCACCTCCACCCCACCGCCCCCTCACAAAGGCCCCCGGGGAGGCCGCCCGCAGGCCGTGCAACCCCGGCCTCGAGTGCCCGCCTCGGCCGCCACTCACCGCTAGGTCCTGGGGCACCGCCCCGCTCATGGCCCGCACCGTGCCGGCCCGCCAGGCCCGAGTGCGCAGCGCAGGCCCCGGATCTCCGCCCGCCGCCGCCGCCGCCGCCGCCGCCGCCGCGGGGACCGAGGCCGAGGACGAGCCCGCGGTGTCCGCGAACAGAAGCAGCAGCCGCTTGCCCACCGGGGAGGCCGCCGCGTCCGCCATCGCCAGGGCCGGCCGGACCCGTGCTCCCGCCCGCCGCCTCCCACCACCTCCGCCGCCGATCTCCCGATCCGCCCGCAAGGCCTCCCTCCGCACCACCCGCGGCCGCGGCTCCCCCCCCACCCCCCCAACAGCCACCACCAACCACCGGCGCCTCGCAGCGCCCCCCGTGGCCGGGAGCGGAGCCGCAGCCCGGGCCCCGCACAGCGCCCCCCGCGCTTCGGAGCGGGGCGGCAGCTCCGGGCCCCTCGCAGCGCTCCGCCCCAATCTCCCCGGGGCCTGCAGTGCCCCCTGCGGCAGGGAGGGGAATTGCAGTTTCGGCCGGGGTGGGGAAGTGGGCGGGACATTCAGTCTCCCTTGGCTCCATCCTGGTGCCATATTTCCCTTAGGGGGCCCCTTCATCTGAGAAGGTTCTAGGTTACCTTCCTCGGATACCCAAAGACTTTAACTGGGGTGGGTGGCTGAGGGGCAAGTTACCTAGAGAATTGATATTCTGAGATAAGAAGTTAGTGCCCCAGTACCTGATTGATTTCCAAGCCTGAAAAAAGGCACTACCCTCCCGTCCTTATCTTTTAGGAAACTTCCCATTGGCCCACGGGACATAGTATCTTTCTTCTCACCGGTCCATAACATGGTACCATTTCATTATTTGAAATTATGGTATCATTTCATTACCAATACTTCATAGGTCCCTTTCCAATTGACCAACGTTTTATACCCATTGTATGTGATAATGCCACTCTATATTGGCTGAAGGCCAACATGCTTCCAACATCTCAATAGTCTGACATATCCCAGTGGAGCTTCCTCCTGCTTCCAAATCAGCCAATGTTATTAAGTCCAGGTGTTTCTCAATTCAACTTTTAAGGGAACTGGAAAGAGACCAAAGTATATCTTACCATGGAAATAAGTGGAGCTGAGGACAAAGAAAACCCCACCACTCCTATCTGAATTCATAGGCATGGAAGACTGATACTCCTGCCAGAAAAGTGGTTGTAGAGAAGGGGAGATACATATTTTTTGCCTAGATTTTTGTTTACACTGGGTAATGAGAAATCTCAATCATTAACATTGGTTATGTTAGAGACTAGCACAAGTTCCATAATCTTATGGATGCAGAGTATACATGGAAGTAGATACAAACCAGGAAAAGGTATGGTATTAATCCATGATTACTACCCTAAAAGTACCCATTTCTTTCACTGATCTGACCCACAATTAAGAGCAGTAGCATTCTTTCCAGACTTATGTGCCTACCCAGAAATCTGTCCGACATCTTCTTTACCCTTGACCTACTTGCCTTGTAGCAAAGGTTGGGGGCCAGAGGGAAGTACCAGTTATTGGCTTCAGTCAAAATACAACATCCAGTGAAGCCATTCTAGAACTAACCCTATGTAGCACCAAGGAAACATTTCTTTGGATTTTTTCCTCTCCTTATTCCTTACAATGTCCATTTCCCATAGCCAATCTGAGGCCTGATTCAATTTTTCTTGATTTTTCTGGGTCAAGACACCTCGTAAAGCACACACACAAACTGTAGTTGGTAGAAAAGAGGGATGAATCCATACATGACCTAGCTGCCTTGCAGATTTTCCATTAAAATTCACTGCTGGGATTTTCTCCCACGTGGAGCTCTTATTACTGTCCCACTGTCCAAAGCTGGCTTCTCACAGCACCAGACACAAGTGGTGTCTTTGTGCCTAAGCTCAGGAATGGGAAAGCAAAGATTAAAAAAAAAAATTCAACAAATATGGCAACACTTTTCATAAGCCAGTAAGTTTTCAAAGTGTTGGGGCTACAACACTGAATAAAACAAAACCCTCATAAAGTTTATATTCTTTCCTATGCTTCAGCAATGGAAAATGAAATCACACTAGCCTTCAGAGAAAATAAACAGTAGAAAAACCCAACAAAAAAACTGAACAGAAAGGAAAAAAAGCAGAGGGAGGTAAGTTTAGATGTTCAGGCCTTAACCCTGCTCAAACAGTAGGTGAAACGTAACAGCAGTTTTATACAAAGAACGAACCTGTAATTCTGAGATTCTTTAACCACATGCTATAACCCTACCCCCTCAAAGCCCTTCTTACGTTTCCAGAATAGGTGACAACTCCCACTCTTTTCAGGGTGTATTTTCATCCCCTCAAAGTTCCTTCTCCAGGTAGTCAAGCCAATCCTGTCTCTTGCACACTTCATTGGTATTCAGTGATGAATGCCACCAATTTGAAGCAGGAAACTGGGTCGGAGGCTAAGCAACTTGACTCTTCTTGCCACCTGGCAAGTCAGTGCTACAACTGGTAAAGAAAGGCTATGCCTTAGGGACAAGAGGCTCCTGCCTGGCTCTCTAAACAACTACACTTCACCCACACACATTGGAAGAATGCTAACAGAGGGAGAAGAAAGGGTGGAATAGAAAGGTTTAGAGAGAGAGTGAGCCACACTGCTTCTTTCAGCAAATGAACACTCCAAATTGAAGCATTAGGGAAAATACCACCTTCTAGAGCAAAAAAGCAGCTCTGCTGCTAGGGTAGTTTACCAAAATCAGTATTTTCAGGATGGAGAAATTGCTGAGGTCTTTGGACTTTGAATTTTGACAACTTTATCTCTGGCTCTCCACAACATAATGTGTGAAAACTCTGAAAAGACACTCCTGGACAAGGTCCCTATCATGCCTTCTCCATACTTCCCAAAGCCTACAAACCATTCTAGACAAGATTCTAATTGCACCATCTAGCATTTCTCAGGGAGGAAGAATGGATTAATACTTTACTTCACCCTGCTGGAAGTGAGAGTGACAAGAGGTAAGAAGAGATGGGTATAAGTACCAAGGAAACAGGAGACCAAATCAGACTGCCAGAAATAACTGAGGTCTTAGGAGAAGCTGGGTCACAGGATATAACTACTGTGGCTGCAAAGGGCCCAGGGACCAAATACTGTCCTTGAAGGGCAAAAGTTCAGCCATGTCATAGAAGAAGCAGCTGGAAGAGTTGGGCGGCCTTCTCCCCACTTCCTCCTTGCCTTTCTTTGTGAAGAAAGGAAGACGACACTGTAGTACACAAGGTTGCTTGGGAAAATGGATTATTCTAATAAAACTTTATTTTTTCAAACACAGCCACAGAGGCAGGACCTCATGTTTAACACACACAGACTTATGGATTTTTTTTTAATATAAAACAAAGTTTACGAAAAATTTTTTTTCACTTTTTATATTTGTAATCCCATTAGCACAGGGACTTTGGCAGCAGGTGGGAGTGAAGGGCAGCTGGAGCTGCCAGTGGGCAGTCACCGGGCACAGGAGGAGAGCACCAGCCTGGGAGTGGCTTCACTCACACACGCAGGAATACTCACCTACTGATCAGCCACACCACACACACAACACAGATGCAGATGTCTACCCAGGGCCAACCACTGCAGAGGTGTGTTCCACTCTGGGTAAGCCCAATATGTGAAAATCCAAATTGTCAAAACAGCTAAAGAAGAGGGAGGTTGCTTGCTTTACAAAAGAAGCAATCACAGGCTGCTTTTAAATGGTCAGCAGTCCAAATGCTTTGAAAAATAGCATTTGGTTTATACAGAACTGTTGGAACAGATCTACCGTGTAAAGCAAAATAAACCACTTCTCGAAAAGGCTTGTCCAAGGACCACAGGTACTTAGATTAGGAAGCAAAACAATAGCTCCAGCTAGTTTAACTTTCCAGATCTTAAAGTAATGGAATTCAAATATGGCATCTATAGACCTTCTCCCTTAGGGATGGTGCCCTTAGGGCTTTGAGGAAGCCAGGGTGGAGGCAGAAATTATTGCCCTCACTTCTTCAGCTTTGGGCCTGCAGAGAACCCCTGACATTACCAGTGGCCTATTGTACGCTGGCACAATCTGCAGCAGAGAGCCCAGGGATGAGGATGCCCCAGGAGGAAAAGAAGCTGGCACCAGGGAAATTATGGCCTAAAGAGGGAGAACAGCCAAGGGAGGGATAAGACCAAGGAGGGGCAACTCCTGGGCTCACAGTTTCCTTGGATTCTCCAGAGAACCTCTCTCAGGCCCCTACAGACCTGGTAGCTCACTGGTAACTCGTGCTAACTAGCAGGTGAAGGGAAGGAGTCCTGGAGGGGTAGAACCTTAGTCTAAAGGCAGGAGGCTGAAGAAGACATAGCCATCTCCTCGGAAGTGGAGGCGAGGATGCTAGGGCCTCACTGATGCTCCTATCCAACATGTGGGAGACCCAGAAAACCATAGGTTCAATTCCATAAGGAAGAAAACACATAGGTCCTCTTCCCTAACATGAGCAATTGGTTCCTACAAAACCCTGGGAAAATGCCCTTCTTCCAATAAACAGGAAGGGCAGGTCCAATTTGGTCCTGCAGGGTCTAAGCAAAGCTGGACAAAGCCTCAAAAGCCATTATGGCGGCAGCTTCAGCATGTATCTCCCCTGGAGCCAGCTCTATAGAGCTTCTGAAATTCTTAAACCCATCAGTGTGGCCACTGAGACCTGTTGCCTGGGTCCAAGTTGTGGGTGTGAAACAATAAAAGAAATTCAATCCAGCAACAACAAACTCCCAGCTGCTTCTCACAGTCTGCTTTACGCATCTTCAGCCAATCCCTCAGTGAGCCTCAACCTCTCGGAGGTCTCTAAGGGCCAATTAGAGGCAAATAAACATTTCCTGGCAGGAGTGGAAGACAAGCAAACTAGTAAATGCTGACATCCCCTTCCTCTTTCTCAACCAACTCAGAAAAAATGGCTAGGCCTGGATCTTATAACGAGTTTCTCTACAGTCTGCTTCCAAAGGGCAGTGCTGGGGTGCACTCACCTATGCCTGCTGGGGACTGAACACTACTTCTGCTGCAGGTCAGCCTCCATACAGGGGCTTCCTTCCTTCTTCTTGACCCTCAAAGGGCAGAAAGTAAGAGGGAAAAGAGGTCCCATCAGTAGGGAGGGAAAGAAAGAGATGGAGCCCTTCAGCCCTGCCTTAATTGCCCACATGTGCTTGCATCTACTTAGTGAAAGAGACAGGCAAGTTGTATCCAGCCTTGGCAATCTGATGAGAAAAAAAAAGCCAGCTCAGAATCAATATGCAGCACTCTCTCCAGCCAATACTAGATCTATCTGGAGGAGGTGTGGGCCTGAGGAAAAGACCATTAGTTGAGAACCCCCAAATAGAATCCTTTGCAGAGCCACTGTTGCTAACAGATTACAAGCTTGCTTCCAGAGCTCCTTAGAACCCCAACTCCTAGAACAAGCCTGCTGTCCCGTGAAAACCCAAGATCCTGGGAGTACTGTGGTGCTCTGCTCTTAGGGAGCAACTGCCTTCCTTCCCTAAGGCTACCCAAACACACCTTTCCTCGAGCACTCTCATGCACTCACACACTCTCACACAATTTCTCCAAGGAGGCTGAATGAACCCCCCACCCTGGCCAAATTCTAAGACACAAGTGCCCTTTGAAGCAAAGGGGCTAGTGAAATTCCCCGAGCTGGGGTCGGCAGACCCCTTCCGTCCCTGCCCATTGCTTTCTCGGTGGCAGGGATACTCACACTCAGGGCCGCCATGGGAAGGGTCTGCTCTGGGGCTGTCCCTCCCGCCACCAGCTCCGTTTATCTTGTCCCGGCCAGTCTCTCGGCATGGTCGAGCTTCCTGGAGCGAGAAGATTTCCGGCTGCCCTGAGTCGGAGCCCTCCATTCACCCCCATTCCCAGGCTGGGCCCCCGGCCTTGGGACCTCGACACTTGTTAGTAGCCGTAAGAGAGTCAGTCTGTGTAGCCCCAGGAAGTAGCCTCTCAGTTTTAGTTCTCCTCAATCAGATTCAAGTCCAGGTCCCCAAAGTCCTGCTGGCACAGTGTCCGCTTGCTCAGCGCCTGCCGCCCCCACCGCACGGCCCCCTCCTCTTCCTCTTCGCTTTCACTCAGCACCTGGGAGGAACCCCCAATGGGGCTGCAGGAAGCAGAGAGGGGTGGGGGGCTGCAGGCCATGAACCATGGTGGAGAGATACTGCTGCCTTCCCGGGCTGTTTCTTGGAGACAGAGACCTCCTGAGTATGGTTTCTGTCAAACAAACAAACAAACAAAATTAAGGCAAAGAAAGATGTTAACTTCCCAGAGAACCTTGCCCAAGCTGTATTTCAAAGTACCCCTCTTGGTTACCCTTGAAGGCAGGAGTCCTATGCATTAGGGTGAGGTCATGAACTCCCAGATAAAATTTTGAAAATTTAGTGTACATGCATATTTTTTTGAGGAAAAGAGACCATAGTTTCTATCAGATTCAAGATTAGAAGCCTGTTTATAAACTTCATGTGTGTAGGAATACTAACTGATGGCTTGTTTCACTCCTATATTGCCAGTGCCTAGTCGGAGTCTGTTACACAGTATAGGTATTCAATAATGTTTGTTGACTGCTTGAATGAATGACAATAAGTGAGTAAGTTCTCAAAGCAGTTTATGACCCAGTGGTCTAGAAGGAAGAATATGAAAAGGGTGGACAAGTGCCTACAACAACTGTACTCACACTGGGAAGACAAAAAACATTTGTTGAGCGAATGAATGATGCAGCAGCCTATTTTGCTTAAGCCCTCACAGGCCCACGTGAAGCAGTGAAGGGCAAGGGACAAAACCAGCCATGCCTGAGAAGGGGCAAGGCACTAATGATTGGGTTTTTCTGAGCCATGCCTAAGGAGGGAAGATGCCTCTGGTAGAACAATCTGGGATCTCTGTTGGAAGGTTTAACATGGGTCCACTAAGTTTCTCTGGAACCCCCAGAACAGGAATTTCACAGGACACAGGACTTTCAATGCTAAAACCAGGATAATCCTGGGCAAATTGAGATGGTAGACCACCCTTAGCAAAAGCTCAGGCAGACAGGAGCGCCAGGGGAGGCCACGTCAGGAGGGCCTGGAGCTAGAGGACACCTCACAAGTGAAAATGGAACAGTCTTCACTACTCCCATCCTAGCTTCCCTGGTCTTGCTAGTCCCACCTGATTCATCTTGTCAAAGTCCAAGGAAGGCCGCAGCCGCCGAGGGTCCTCCTCGTGGCGCCGCTTGACCCCAGCTTTGCGGGCATCAAGATCACAAGGCTGTGAGCGGCTTCGGGGAAGATTGCGCAGGCCTCGAGGTCGCCAGGGCAGCTCTGGGGAGGATGCAGGGGAGCTCCGGGCAGAGGGCAAGAAGCGGCTTGCCTGTGGGCCCAGGCTGGGTGACAGGGAGAAGCGGCGTTGGGGTGGGCAAGGTGACAGGGACTCAGCATCACTCTCCCAGGAGCCACTTTGCGGGGAAGCGGCAGAGGGATGAGAGGAATCTTGGGCTAGGGCCAGGCTGAAGAAAGGGGGGCTGTAGGGTCTGTGGGCTGGGGCACATTGAGAAGAGGCACTGGGAGCTTGGAGGAACCTGAGGCTGGAGACCCGCTTCGGGGGGCTCTGGTGAGGCACCTGCGGCCCACCCCCTCCACCACTGCCCCGGTGCTTGATGGGAGTCCACAGCTTGGAGGGGGCGGGCCGCCACACTGGCTGCCAGCGAGACAGGTCCACGGGCACTGAGAGTGAGCGGCAGTGCCTCTTAGATGGAGGGGCAGGGGGCACAGGAAGCTTTTCTGGGTCTGGGGGCTCAGGGCTTAGGACTTGGGAGAGGGACTGCTCCTGTGGGGAACTTCCCGGGCTGGGTGGTCTGAGGTGCAGGCTCAAGCCTGAGGGGTGGTAGCTGAGGTTGAGGCTATCCTGGAACTCGGCACAGGAACAGTGGGGCAGGCCCCTCCAGGAAGCACCTTCTGGAAGGCATTCATAATAAATATAGAATTAATGATAGCTAATATATTTTCAAGAGCTTACTATGTGCTAGAAAACATAATGAGCACTTTATGTGAGGTTTCCCCTAAACTTCATGAGTTGGGTACTATCACTACCTCCATTTCACAGATGAGAGAAGTTCCGTAACTTGCCAACAGTTATGCAGGGATCAAATGACCAAAGCAGGGTTCAGAACCAGACTTGTCTGATGCTAAAGCTAGGTCTTTTACCCAGTAGACTATATTGCCTCCGTTACGAGGAACCACCTGAAACTAAAAATATAGAATCATAAACTGCCTGCGAATCCCTCTCAAAGGTAGAATGAGTCAAGAGAAGCAAAGGTGTGTGTGCCACGCTCATCTTTCACTCCACTCCACCGAGCTCTACTTTGCTCCCCCAACCCCCCCGCCCTGAGTTGCGGAAAGCTGGCCTATACTGTCCGTCCTTAGCCTTTATCTTTCCTGTGTGTCAAAGCACCAAGACAGGGTGATCAGGCAGGTAAGAGATCATTTGGATTCCTAGTGAAGGCAAGGGTGGGGAGGGTACCCTGGGAAAGGCCTTTGATGCTGCTTGTGTTCCTCTGGGTCTGGCCACCCACAAGGAAACACTGAACATACTTACATGGAAAGATCTTCTAGTCTTATTATGATTAGTTTAAAAAGAAAGTTCCAAATATACATAATGCAACCTTTTGTGTTAAAAGAGTGGGAATAAAAAAAAATCTACATTTATATTTGCTTCTATTTGTAAAAAAGCAATAACAAAAATTTGGTTGAATAGACAAGAAACTAATAACAGGAGTTACTTTTAGGGAGGTGATAGAAGCTGGGGAGATAGAAAAGGAAGGGGGACTTTTTTCAGTTTAACACTTTTCCTATTTAAAAAAATTTGAAACGTGACTGTATTGCCTACTCAAAAAATTACATTATAAAAGTTCCTACAAGGCTAGAATAAGAGCAAGGTAAACAGATAACTCCCATACTGGTGCAATAAAATGGAGACAAGCACCAATCTCAGTAGCTGACCCTGGTAAGAAAATTGTGGAGGCAGGCTAGCTAGACCTGGTTATGGAAAACTAATAAAAGAAACATGTGGATGGAGGCATGGGCATACACACAAATATACACACAATGTCTTACCAGACACAAGCTGGAAAGGGTTCCCACAGTTGGAGATGTCTGCATGATCAGGCAAAGGCTAAGAGACAGAGAATATCCATCATGATTCAAGATCAGGACAGAGTTCCAAGAAGACCTTTCAGCTCACCCCTGCAATTCATGGGCTATAGGGATATTAGGGACACCTAAGTGTTCTCTTCTTATCCTCCCCGGGTTAGTAAAATAATTCACATCTTCCAGTATCTCAAACCCTTCTCCACCCAAATTTTAGTGTCCCTTCTCTTAACAGTAAAGAAATCCCTGCCCCCTTCCTGTTGGGCTGGGTTTTGAGTCTTTAGTGGGCACATCCAGTACAAGTACCATGACTCATATAGCACAGGACAAGGGTGAAGTAGTAACAACAAATAGCCTCAGAAAAAAGGGCAAGGGGCTCTTAAAGAAGTGGGAGACTGTCTTTTACCAGACTGATGCTGAAGCGTGTGCATTTCAGCTCATCCAGAGTCTGCTTCTGTAGCTGCTCAGTGATCAGGGTTATCATGATTCTCCCCGGGATTTGACTTGCACACTTTGGAGCGAATGATGGATGTCTTCCCTGTTGTTCTTCCAGACCTCACTCGTGAGCCGTCTTCTGCCACTGCAGCACCATTCTAGCACCATTAGGACTTCCCTCTCCAGTCATGCCTGCTGAGTCTGCCAATTACAGATGGATCAGCCCCAGGTGATATTAGAGATGTACCTAGTCCAGAGATGGAAAATGCATGGCACACATACCCCAGCATCCCTATGTCAGGCCTCTGGCAGACATCATCAACTGATCACAGCTCTTTCCGGCTAAGCCTAAACATAGCCTCAAAAACATTCTCAACTTGGCACTCCGGATAACCAGTATAATAAAATGGAGTTGGCAAGCAAGTTGAAACCTATTTGCCACTCCTAACCTGGTTCGTGCTCTGCTCTGCCTACCCAAAATACCAGCACCACTTAGAAAACAGCTCAAATGAGAGAAATGCCCACATTGTTATTTCCATCCTGATTAGTCCAATATTTTATCTTCCAGTCAAAAGCAAGGAGAGATAGCCTTTTCCTAAACTACAGAAATAGTAACAGTGCAGTGGTTGTAGGAATGACTTTCTACTTCAAACCAGAGTAAACAAGGTATTATATTCTCCTTTATCCCGAACAGCTGATATTATATTATTGTTCTTCAACAGATACTGTACGTACTCTCTTATAAGAAGATAAGGAATGCTACCAGGGTAATTCCATTCACATTTCAACTCTATAAATGTTAAAAACAACAACTCTAACTTCATTCAACAAAGTTTTTAGCCTGATTTGACTCAAAGACCATGAATACAATTAATCAAGACTCTTTCTCATGGTCAATTACAGTAGAAGCAAACTAATTCTATCAGAGAACAGGCTTCAAGCCCACACAATTGCCTGAGGGACCTCGATCAAGGGAGGAGGAGGGGAAGTTAATCTAACATTTCCATACTGTTCTGCCTATTCCCAGAAATGACCAGCAGGCAGACAGCAATCAGACAGTATAAGTAGCATTTGCTAGCAGAGAGAACAAACTATCAAGAAATCAAATCTGATTTGCTGTGATGGTCTTGGCAAATCATCAAACTTTTCTTTCTCTCAGTTTACCTATATGAAAAATGGGCAGAATAATCTTAATCTGTCACAGGGATAATATAATGCAAAATATCAAAACATAAGAAGTATACCACTTGGACTGTACAAATCAGAAGTCCACACAGACTGCCGTTTCTCACCCTTCCTATTTGTTGCTCTACAAAGCCTCAGGTTGCTACAAGTGATAATAAATATTAAGATGAAGAAGGCAATTGGGTAGATTTATTTGGCTGGGTATCAACCTCCCTCACTCACATGCCAAGAAAAACCCAAAAGGCTTGACCTTGAGGGCAGATAACTTTGAACTCTGGCCAAAAAAAAAGGGTGGTGGGGGAATCCCTTCTACTCGATTTCCACCTCAGAGGGAGGCAGACCACAAAGAAAGGCAAAGAAACACACTTCGATGTACTTGGAGTTTAGGCAAAAAGGAGGCAGGAGAAGTCAACCACCACTATAGTTAAATAACATTTTCATGCATAATTATTATTACCACCCTGAAGTTCCAGTTTCCTGAGCGCTCCCTTCAGCTGCTTCCCCCATTCTTGTAGGAGAAACTAAAGCTTGTATCACTTCTGCTCTTGGTTTCTTAACTCTGCCCTCAAAGACCAACCAGAGAGGAAACCTAAGGCAGGCTTTTACCCCCAGAGACCCCAGGCCTCAGGCTGACCAGCCATGAGGAGCAGGGAATGCAGCAAACTCTTTCAAGGTTTTCATGAGGCATTTGGCCAAATAGCAAACTTCCAGCCCTCTCTGGGATCAAGAGAGTGATTTTGTGTTTTTCTGCATTTTAATTGTTGGGATGTGACCACACACGACGGTAATTAGAACAATGCAACCACCACCACGCAACTGATACTTTCAGTCTGAGTTTCCTAAAACAGGCCAGGCTGAGAAGGGGAACAGAACGGAAGCCATAAGGAATCAAACCAGGACACAAAAGAAGGCAAACCAGCTCCGCGAGGGGCCTCCTCTTTCTCAGGCAGGCAGAGAAAAAAGTGTAAGAAGCTCTCTCTTGCCGCCTTCCTTCCCCTTCCATTTTGTGTATCTGAGGGGCACAGACAGCCCTGAACGTTCACTAAACAAGTTAAAACTTCTCAGCTTAACAACTGGCATGGGGCTAAGCCCAACACAGAGCGGCAGGCCGCTAGGCCCTCCCTCAAACCCCACCAGGCCCAACTCTCAATTCAAGCTTTCTCTGCACCATCACCTCTCCCTCAAATAAAGGTTGGACCCCCACCCCACTGGGTGGCAGTAACCCCTGACATAAGGGTTTCAGGGATGCTGAGGTTGTGCTTAAACCTAGATAACCTAGGATCAAGTCAGGCCAAGGAAGAAGAGAGTCAAAAACCCCTGGAGACCTTCCCCCTAGGTCCCAGTCCCACAGCTCTGGGGGAGACTGAAGAAAAACATGAGGCAGGGAGGCACACGAACAGGTATGTGGGGACCTGACTGCTTTTTCTCCATATGGCACCGGTGGGCATAGGGGTGACAAGTGGGAGCACCCCTCCCCCCACCCCAATGAAGAAGCAAAAGGCTAGGCCCCCCTCTCCAATCTTCAACCTCTCCATCGGTTGCTCTGTCTGTCCCCGCGGGGTGGGGCATGGGGCATCCGCTAGCCCCTTGGGGTGGGGGGGAGGGCGCCGGGGCACGCTCAGGGGGGCTGTCGCTCGCCTGTTCCCAATCAGCTCCCATCATCTGGACGCGGGGAAGCGAACTCAGGACACAGGGGACGGGAGGGTCTGGGACTTAACACTCCGCCACCCCCTCCCCCACCGGGTCCCGTGCTCTCCCCGCGGAGGCAGCCAGCGAGGCCGTGCCTCGCGGGCGGACGGGCTGGGGGAGGGGAAAGAGGGAAGGAAGGAGGGACGGTCTAGGCGCCCGCCCCGAGGCCCCAGCGCCACCTGCCCTCCGCCACCTACCGCGGCTCCTCCAGTTCCCAGGGCCGCGGCCGGAGCAGCTCTGAGCGCTCGGTTCGCCCCACGGTGCCCTTAAAAGGCGCCGGCGTGAACCAACGGGCCCCTCAGGAGAGTGGAGAGATCGCTTGGGTTGGGAGAACCCCCCTGAACCGTCCACGGAGGCTCGAGCCCCGCATCGTTTTTCTCGCAAAGTCTTTCTTGGCTAACGCCGTCGGAAAGAGGCCGGGCTCTTTGATTTAGCTATGAGGGTGGTTTCCTCCCTAGGAAGTCACCCCCTGCAAAATATTGCAGAAGGTGGACTGGGCCAGTCGAACGCAAATCTCGAAACCCGCGGGGGAGGCCGTGTCGGTCGAAGGTAAACAAAGCCATTGCCCCCGCCCTCTGCTACTACATCAGCCCACGGACAGCCCCCAACTCGATTCCGGCAGCGTAACGGAATTAGCCAGGATTCCTCTCACCTGTTCTCCTGCCCCCACTCTCTACGGCCTCGGCTCTGAAGTAATCCCCCTTCCCCCAGCAGAGGACCCGTCCGCGTCGTGAAGGCTTCTGGGAGGCGTAGTCCAAGCGGCGATTAGGGCCTGCTCTGAGTCCCAGGAGCCCCTCTTCCAGCTGCCGGATCGGCTCGAACCTTATAAACCCAGGACCTGTAACGGTTGCGGGCCGTTCCCACTTGGTTGTGTAGTTAGCTGTCACTCAAAATACTGTAAATCCGACGAGGGCCCAGGGCTGTTCACTCCTTCTCCTCCCTCTATGCCCCCACCCCCAGCAGGATGAGGTAATGGGATTGTGATTATGACATCATAGGCGGTTCAGTTGCTTGCGTGGGGGAGGGGGGAGAGGGGAAAGTACGGTAGTTGCAGCTGGACCCCTTTAAACCTTTCTGGGAGGGAGGAAACAGGTCGCTGGGGGAAACGATATTGATAGTGCTATATTCCTCTTCAGGGAGAGGAAACCACCTTTTATTAAATCTCCATCACTATCACTGCCTCCTACTCAGCCAAAGTTTAAGTCCTTTTTGAAGAGACTGAATGTAGCAGTTGGTAGGTGAAGAGGTTGTGGAACAGCTAGGTGGTTTCTGGCTCTTAAGTAAATTTGAGTATCAGCTATCAAAGAAGGTTTAGACAGAGGGTAAAACATGGGGAAAGAAGAGGTTTTAAACAATGCCTTCGTGTTATGATCACGTTGTGGGACGGAGTTTTAGATTTTTAATCAATTGGAAAGCAGAAGTACTGCAAGTAATCTTCACTATTACATTCAGCAAGAAGTCCCCTAAAAGACACGTTTTCTCTAAATATTTTATGCACCACTGAAGTCTGGGACAGATAAGTAATCGTGACCAGCTCAAAGGTAGAGCCAGTGGTGGGAATCTTCCTCAGAAAGACAGAGAAGGCAGGAGCGACCAAATCTGCAAACTGAAAAAGAAGAGTAAAGGGAAAGTGAGGTAGTTATCAAGAAAATACGCAGAGCAAGGGGGTGTGATGGGAGATACACTGCACATTTGTTTGCCCTGCACATTTGTTTGCACTGCATATTTCCCCTTGGCAAAAGAAGGGTCAGGGACCATGAAGTGTAGAGGACACGGTTTCCAGTAATTGCTGCTATGGAGCGTTTATGTGCCAGGCACTGTGCTGCATACTTTAAATATGTATTCTCATTTTTGTTTACAATCATCAGATGAGAGAAAATTTCCCTGTTTGACAGATGAAACAGCAAGAGAGGTTAAGTAGCTACCCATGTGGTAGACAATGGTAGTATTAAAAAGCTGTCTGAGACTCTAAAGCCCTTAGTCTTCACCACTAGGTAAATCTCCCTTTTTATTTCATAATAAAATATCATGCTTACTAAAGGTAAGTGATTGAGTATAAGAAGTTAGCATTGGTGCGTTTGCAAATTTGAAACACTTAAAACAACCAAACCCTGCAAGTCAAATTTCAGGTCTTGATTCAAAGGAAAATGACACCCATTTCATCAAATATAAAACAGTGTCCCCAGTGCAGCCCAGCCTCTTCCCCATTTCTAACTATAACCAGATCTCTTTATGCCACTTTTGGTTCAAGGTTTTTTTTTTTTTTTTTTACTCACATTCTGCATATTTCCCCCCCTGCTGTTCCATTTTCCTTCTTTTGTTCTTGGGCTACTGCCTTGAACCCTATCATAATTGTGACCTCCTGGGCTAGACCCCATCTCTGACCCTGCTCCAGTGGGTTTCAGCAGAGGATACTACCTGGGCTCCCTCCTAGTCTTTATCCTGATTCTCTGAGGGTTCCAGGGCCTGGAGCCAGTCATCCAAAGGGGTGGAATTCGTTGGCTCTAAGAGATCGTCCATTCCACACCTAGGAAGGCAGCAGAGTCAGAGAAATGCGCACTTCATTCAGACTCTCCTTTTTCAGCCAGTGAAAGTGAAACCTTTGTAAAGTGGGGAGAGATAAGGCTTAGTCCACCACTCAAGGAAGGAACAAGGAATAGGGCACACACCCCTCAACCTGCAGAGGCTGGCTGGGAGGGTCCCAGGAATGTAGGGCTCTTCTCCACTTCCTGATCTGGGCATCCCAGGAGCGACGGCTGTACCTCCTGTTCTTGTTTGGTGTCTGAGGGTGAAGTCCTGGCTGTCGCTGTGCCCTGTCAATGACAAATGTGTCAGACTAAGGTCAAGGCCAAGGGGCACAACTTATTGCTTATTATGGTGAATTAGGAGACTCATTAGGGATTTCCTGAGAATGAGGTAAAATCAATGTCCTCAATCCAAAGAAGACGTTTAAATTGGATTAAACATCAAGCTTCCCAACTCTCTAATATTCTTTCTTCTGGGTAAGCTAAATTAGATATTCCAAGTCCCTCACTAGTCAAGATAGATAAAGAGGAAAGTATTTGACATCTCTTTAAAACATATTCTACCTTTTCATTCATTAATTTGTATATATGCTTGTAAGCTTACATGTAGTTAGGCAGGTATGTTGTAATTAACAGTCAGATGGAGGCATGGGCCTTCCCAGGTGGCACTAGTGGTAAAGAACCCTCCTGTCAATGCAGGAGATGTAAGAAATGCAACTTCGATCCCCGGGTCAGGAAGATCCCCTGGAGGAGGGCATGGCAACCCACTCCAATATTCATGTTTGGAGAATCCCACAGACAGAGGGAATCTCCTGGGGCTGGGGTCCATAGGGTCAGAAAGAGTCAACTGAAGTACAACTGAAGTAATTTATGCATGCACATGGAGGCATGAGGTGAAAATGGAAGAAAAAAAATTCATTAGCAAACACGAATAGAGCTTTGAGAAGTCTTATGGGTCAAGTATAACTTGTTCCATTTAAAAAAAAATCTTGGAAATTTATTTGGGGACTAGATTACAGGATAATTTAGTAATATTGCAACTTGGTGGGAGCATTCAGATTTTAGTATCTTTCCATCATCTGACATTGAAGAAAAGCCATGTGGTTGACACTCTTGTGACTACCCACAACTGCACTCACTTGGGGACCTGCTGCAGAAAGCACTGGTAACCAGGTGTGCACTTGCCATAATCTATTTGCTTTTGCCGCCGCTGTAGGACAGTTGCATCTGTCTCTAGCTCCCACCTATAAAGACGTAGACAGTGGTCCCAAGAAGTGTTACGATAGTCATCAAAGCAGAAACCAGCTCTTCCCACATTCCCTTAATCTCCAGCCTGACTGTCAAACTTACCTGGCATGGCAGGGCTCTGTACTGACTCCCACACTCATCATCTCTATCCTGGAAGATAAGGACTCTTCACACACCTTCTTTCTGGGGAAGCAGATTCTACAGATGAAAAGGGTATTAGGATAAAACCCAGCTAACTATACTACACCTCTCAGCCACTACACTGCCAAGATCCTGGCACCAGATACAGGTCGTATTCCTGACTCAGTCTCTCAAAGATAAAGGTTGCATTTCTACTGTGTTTCTCAAAGTGTGGTCTATAAGCCATTTCTATGGGTAGCTTATGGGTGCCTTGATAATTCCTCAGCCCCACTCTAGACCTATTGAAGTAGCACTTTGGGAAGTTATATTTTAAAGAGCTTCCAAGGTTAAACATTTTTTATTATGGAAAATTTCAAATATGCAAAGATAATAGCATAATCCTCTGCTACTCAAAGTTTGACCCTAGGACCAGCTGCATTAGCATCAGCTGAGAACTTGTTAGAAGTGTAGAATCTTGGTAACCAGATCTAGTGAACCAGAGTATGCATTTTAGCAAGATCCACAGGTGATTAGTATATAGATTAAACTTTGAGATCTCAAAGTTTAATGGATATCATGGACCTCCTAGTTACCCGTGACCAGTACTCATGGCCAATCTTGTTTCATCTATACTCACCACCACTCCCACAGGATTATTTAAAAGCAAACCCCCAACATTAAGAATAAATTCTTAATATCATCTAGACAGGGATGAGAGAGATGGTTGGATAGCATCACTGACTTAAGGAACATGAGTTTCAGCAAACTGTGGAAGATGGTGAAGGACAGAGAAGCCTGGCGTGCTGCAGTTCATGGAGTCCCAAAGAGTCAGACGCAACTGAATGACTTAACAATAACCACCTAGTCAATGTTCAAATTTCCACTAACAACCAAAGTTTGGGATCCTTTGGACTCTGATAAGGATTACGCCGAGATGATTCTTTCCTTGAAAATAAATTTCTTTTACCTCACAAACCTAGTGTCTCAGATGCTGCGCGCTTAAAAGCGTCACGGACCCAGGAAAGCTCTTGGAAGGGGCCAGTGCTACTCATCATAAATACACACACCTGTCTTGACGCAACATCTGCCACCCTGGCTGCAAATGTTCCATCTCTAGGGAAAGGCTAGCAAAAATAAGGAAAGGTCCACGTAACGGCACGAGAAAGAAGCAAGGGAAAAAAAACACAACCCATTTAAAACATCCTCCCACATAAATGAATTCCTCCTGGTCTTATCCTAGGGAGTGGTCGTCGCTGGCAAGGCGCAATTTAAATGTCCCGGGGTTGAAGGTGCTGAAGGGGCCGAAGGAAAGGAGAGCTCAGAAAGGGTGTGGTGATTGGCCAGAGAGAGAGCCAATGAGGGGCCAAGCTCCCTATGGGGCGGGGCTTATCTAGGGGCTGGCCCAAAGCAAGTGGTCTAATTGGAAGCCTGCTGGCCTGTGGGGCGGGGCAAACATCCTTCCGAACAGCTCACGCCCCCGGTGATGTAGGAGGCAAGAGATTGGCCCAGCGTGTCTAGGCGGGTGCGCGGAGGTAGGCTGACGCAGCTGTGAGGCGAGCGTGATAGGTTTTTGGGAAGGCGGAAGGTTTGAACGGTCAAGGCTTTTGGCTGTTAATCTTACTGTGAGGCTGTAACGTCAACCGTCTGCAGAGAGAAGCGGCAAAACCCGACCCTGGCCTATCTGGTCGAGAGGCATAGATGTCTGGTTAAATCGCCGCCTTTACCTCAGATTTTCTTTAATTCTTCTAGAATCTTCGCTTGTGTGTGATTTCCCTGCCTACTTTCATTGCTCCTGAAGGCAAGTCTCGGACTCAAACCTGAGGTAAGCCTGGAACTGTGTCCTCCACAGAATCACGGGCCTCGCGAACGGTGTTTAGGGGGACAAAACAGGTATTATCGCGAGTTAGAAGACCTGAGTTCCTTCCTGTCAGGAGTCATGAACTGTGTGGCCCCTAACAAGTCAAAGGCCTCTTTTCATTTCATCTTCAAAACCCTGAGGTTGCCTTTCTGTAAGTTAAGATTCCAATGGAAAGGCCAAGCCGCTTCCGGCAAGTGCTATTTCACCTTCAGGCCAATCTGATTCACCGTTTGGGAATGCCCCCTTCTCCAATACTGGTTCATTTGGTTGCAACTGGAAAGGGTGGAGGAGGTTGTGTAGGTGACGTTTTCCCTCTCTTGTGTTGTTTAGTAGAGTCCGACTCTCTTGCGACCCTATGGACTGCAGTCCACCAGGCTCCTCTGTCCATGGGATTTCCCAGACAAGAATACCAGAGTGGGTTGCCATTTCCTCCTCCAAGGAATCTTCCCCACCCAGGGATTCAACCCATGTGTCCTGCATTGGCAGGCAGATTCTTTTTACCGCTGAGCCATCTGGGAAGCCTTGTCCCTTAGCTAGGTTTTGTTTTTTCTTAGAACTTGGAGACCATGTCTGCAGAATTCTCATCCAAAAAAGAGAGAAGCCTTGCCTCAGGACCTAGTTTTAGGTCCAATCAGAGGAAGATATTAAACCTGCTTCTTGAGAGAGATGCCTCCTTTTCCATCAGTTCAGATCTCCCTAGAACTCCAGTGGAGAAGAAACTTTTTGGTGACTCTGCAAACCTAAGCATTTTGTCTGGGTAAATCTACCTTTTCTTTTCACATCTCCTTTGTTCTTCTAAACAGTTTTTGGGTTTTTAAAAAATTATCCTGGTTCAGAGATAAGGGTTAAGCTACTGTCCTTGACTAACCATTTGACAGTTTTGAGTCTAAGGCTTCTTTTCTGTGGCATAGAAATAATAATCCCTTACTATCTTACTATTCTATATGATCTTAGTAGGATCATATAGAATCAAATGATGAGGAAAGTCTTTGAAAACTATTGCATCACATGAGTTGTCACTTTATAAGTACTACAGTTAACATTACTTTTCTTGTTGTTTAGTTGCTAGTGCCCAATTCTTTTGCAACCCCATGGGCTGTAGCTGTCGAGGCTCCTCTGTCCGTGGTGTTTCCCAGGCAGTAATACTGGAGTGGGTTGCCATTTTCTTCTCCAGGGGATCTTCCCAACCCAGGGATTTAACCCAAAACTCCTGCATTGACAGATGGATTCTTTAACACCGAGCTACCAGGGAAGCCCCTATTGTACTTTAAACTCTGGTAATGCCATGCTCTGATGCCTCAACTAGCCAGCAAAGTTGGAAGTCAGAGAAGTACTGAAGACTCCAGGGAGAAATAAAATCTGTGTGCTCATGGTGCTCAGGGCAAAAGATGAGAAATCAAGACCCACCTCAGCCATTTTCTTAAATTACCTTGATTCAACATGTTGATGAGGAGAAAATGAGGTATTATTGGAGTAGAGAAAAGGTGGGAGATTTTTCTCAAGCCTAGTCTGACGTGTTTCCAAAAATCAGTTAGATTTATTTGAAGACTGTTTTATGTGGTAGTCAGGGAGGGGTATTTCAAATGAAGAGGATAATGTGATTTTTGCCTTTTAGGATATTTTAACCCAGTGGGAATCTTGATGTATTATTATGTCTCAACAGAGGAACCCCAAAACGTTGCCTTGATCTTTCGAATCTTAGCAGCGGGGAGACATCTGCCACTCAGCTTACTGCTTCTGCAGACCTTGATGAAACTGGTAGGGAAAAGGGAAGTAAAGGCCTCAAGGGAAAGAATAATTGTTAGGGGAGAGGACAGTAGTATGATAGAGATGGAAGGTGGTAAAAGTGGATTTAAAAAAAAAGTAGATAGCCTTGAGGATGGAATTCTTTGAGTACCTAGAGGATTTTTGAGAAGAATGATTCAGCCAATGGGAAGAGAATTGACCCGAGTAGGAGTCACTTTGCATTGAGAAAGTTAGACAAGAAGGAATATTTTGTTGATTGATTGTGGGAATGAAAGTGCTAGTTAAAGATGATAAGTTTTATGCCCCAGTCTAGTTTCAGCAGAGACAAAGAAGCCAACATAAAGAAATGCTTTGTCAACTAATTCTTATGTGTTTTTATACGGTGTGTACTCCAAAGGAATGTGTTTTACTAGTCAACCATTTTACTATTTGTTCTAATTTCATATTTCCTGAGTGATAAATTTTCCTTTCTACTGATAAAAAAATCTCTGTAGGTTAGCATAATGCACTATTACCGAGAAATTTTCCTTTATGTGACAGGTGCAGATTTTCAAGTTTCCATGAACTTGTACCATGGTACCTTGTATCATGAAATTGGTATTTATCAAGAGCCTTTGTGTTTAAAAGTTCAGCTTTTGAAATTAATACGGCTCACTGGTAATGAAATTAGAAGGAAAGACAAAATACATGAACAAGAATAACTCTTTACATCTGATTGCAGGTCATTTGGAGTCTACAGGACCTGAGCAAGTACAGTTAGCTGGAATGTAAGTTCTTTTGCTAAATGAATCCCGTACTAAAGTATTAAAGCCTTCTCAGCACTGGCCTAGGGATTTTTTCCCATGCAGACTCTATAGAGAATGTTTCACCTTAGGTGTAAGGGGGCTTGAAGGTGTAGGTTCTTCCCTTGAAAGATATTTTAAGTTTCCAAAATCGAAATTGTGTTGTGAGGGACTTCCCTGGAGGCACAGTGGATGGAAATCCAGCTACCAATGCAGGAGACTTAGGTTTGATCCCTGGCCTGGGGAAATTCCACATACTGTGGAGCAACTAAGCCCATGTGCCACAACTTTTGAGCCTGTGCTCTAGAGCCCAGAGTCACACCTACTGAGCCTGCATGCCATACCCACTGATGCCCATGCGCCTAGAGCCTGTGCTCTGCAAGAAGAGAAGCACTGCAATGACAAGCCTGAGCATTGCAATGAAGAGTAGCCCCCGCTTGTTGCAATTAGAGAAAGCCTGTGGGCAGCAACAAAGACCCAATGCAATAAAAAAATAAAATAAATAAAAAATAGTAGATTACTTATATAAAAAATAGTGGTGTGAAAATGAAGGCTATTTATTTTAACCCTCACATACAATCAGTATTGTCTTTAAAATGGAAGAGAATGGTATACTGAACTTAGATGGAGGCTGTTATCTGCATGTGAGTAGTACTAAATCTTAGTGTTCAAAAGTGCAGCAGAGTTCAGGCTCTGGAATCAGAGTGTCTGGATTTCAGTGTCTACTGCTTCATCAACTTACTTGGACAAGTTTCTTAACCTCAAGGAACCTCAGTTTATTTGGAATAAAGAAATAATAATAATGGAGATAATAGCACTTTTCATAAATGACTCCTGTGAGGATTAAATGAAGATGTATACCTAATACATATGCTGCATTTTATAATGTTTATTGTTACTATTGAAGATTCTTTATTGAAGATCTTAGAAAAATGTTCAGTTAGAGAGTACTCAAGGAATGAAAAGTACTTTATCATGAATTTTCCATTTGATTGTTTTAATATTTTTGTAACTTTATTCTTCAAAGTTTAGATAAATTAGGTGCCTCTTTGTGCACTAGGGAAGACTCTCCATGAGTATTTTTAATCAACACATGTGAAAATTTTACTTTATATTGCTTTTATTTTCTTTGAATTGCTTGTATGTCCTAACCCAGGTAGACTAGATGAAGTCTGGGGAGGGAGGATAGAAATCCATAAAAATAAATATTAACTCCCAATAGTCCATGCTGAAAAATTAGCAAACTGTAAATTGTGTCTATATAAGATATAGGACAAAGTCATCATCTTTGATGCATATCTATATATGGTTATGCCAGTGAGGTGAGGTCCTCATCCCCAGGATGTCACTCAATGTCTTATTATTTACCACAGAGAACACCCTATATATTGTTATTGGAAGAGACATCAATTAGGTACAGGTTTCCTAGAGCGCAAGAAAAGAAAGGTGGGATGTCCCGAGTCACTGAAGAATAACCAAATCGTGTTTGGGGTTTGAATGACTGGCAGTTTTTCTTTTTTTGATCTACAGGAATTACCACCAGCATCTTATAAAATGTAGCCCAGTGAGTAACTCATTTTCTTGGGTTTGGGTTTGTCAGGTGGGAGGCAGAGGATTTCCAGCTTAGCCCGAGGATGCCAGATGTTCTTTGAAAACAATCTCTTGTAGGCACAGCTGTTTTGTAGCACTCCGAATGCCTTGGACCGTGGCCGCAGGAAGAAAGATGCAGTATGTGGCTCGTCTGCAAATAAGGAAAATGTGAGTTTAATGGAAACCTAGGTCCATTAGTAGTTTTATTCCTTTGAGTAGAGCAACTAACTCATCAGTATCACTATGAGACTTAGAGCTGTCTGTGCTTCAGTATGCTTGAGAAGCAAATTGCAACACTAGAGGAAAAAAATTCTTTATAGTTTGTTTTTTTTTTTTCCATTTAAGGTTTGATCCTAGTATGGAAACCTGGCTTCCAGTCTTCCACAGCAGGTCATCATTATTACTCATGTTCAGTTGATTGTAATGTAAAAAATTTAGGACTTAAAACACAGGGATAATTTACATAACTTGTTCACATATTCATTGCATGGCTTCATATACAAGTCCAGGTTTCTTAATTTCTTATTTCCCTCTTAGTCTAGCTTCTTAGCCCCTTTTCTGAGGAAGTCATTGTCCTTTTTTGCCTGAGTCTCAGATCATCCTTCAGTTCGCAAGTTGAAACTAGCTTCTCCAAAGCTATATAATAGCTAAAATAATTCTCTAACTCATCCCTTCATTAATCCCCTTTTCTAACCATCTTTTTGCTTTTCCTGTCCTCCCATCCTTTCCTCCAGGTCAATATGTATAAATGATAGCTGCTGTTCTTCTTTGCTCACATTGCCTAAATTATGCCCATGTTTTTTGGCTGTCCTAATCAGCTTTTTCTTGAATTAATACAGTTCTACTCTGTTTATAATCACTATTTAAAAATCTCATCATTCCTTCCCCTGTCCGGCTCCCTTTTTCCTCCCTCCCTTTGGCTTGTGATCATAAAATCAGTACCCTCCAGAGCATGCTGTTTTATACACCATACATCAAATCCAAACCATAATTTGTATTTTCAGGATATGTGGTCAACCTTGATTACATGTACTATGTTTTGTGAGGGTTATCCATGGCTTCATCAGATGAAATGTTTTTGGCAGAGTCTGCTGACACCTCTTCTTTCAGCCAGTGTAGTTTTTCTTGTGCAGGAAAAGAGCACTTCAAAGCCTCTGGAGTGGTGGGTACCCAGGAACCTGAGGTCTCCTCTTTCTCTACTGGTGAGTCACTGGACATCATCCTCAACAATCAACTGAGGTGTTGTGGAGTAGAGGATTGCAGATCTGGATTTATGGCCCTTTAAATTTTCTTAGCTGACTTGAGTGAGAAAAGGGGTTGGAGAAGTAACCTTTGAGCAAGGAAAGGGAGGAGACATGTCCTCTGATCTTTTTATGTTCAAGTTTAAGAAGAAGAATAAATTCTTAGGCCTTTTAAAGCATTTCTCCTTTATTCTTTAAGTGTTTCCCTCCTCTTTCTCATGGCTTCCAGGTGGCTCAGTGGGTAAAGAATCTGTCTGGAACGCAGGAGATGTGGTTTCAATCTCTAGTTGGGAAGATCCCCTGGAGGAGGGCATGGCAACCCACTCCAGTATTCTTGCCTGGAGAATCCCATGGACAGAGGAGCCTGGCTGGCCACAGTTCATGGGGTCCTCAAGAGTCAGACACGACTGAAGCAACTGAGCATGCATGCACCCTCTCTTTGTCAGTTTTAAAAGTACTGTGTGCCCATTGTGAAAACTGTGTAAAAAATATAGTAAACCATAAAAAAGAAAATAGCTACCTCATAGAGAAAAACTACTATTAACGTTTACCTCATTGCTTTCAATCTTTTAACCATGTGTATAGTTTTACAAAGTTGAGGTCATATTGTATATGTAACTTTATATTCTATTATTTTAAATATTAAAACTCTTAGCAGTTCTTAATGGATGCTTTTATTCTAATAATTGAACTGTAATTTATATAAGTACATCCCGATTGTTGGGCACTTATGGATATATACATTTTGCTTTTACAAATAATGATATCATGTAAATTCCTGAGCACAAATTTTGCCTGTTAACAATTTTTTTATTTAGGATTAGTACCAAATATTATAATTACTAGATTAAAGGGTTTAAATATTAAGATTTTTGATACATATTGCCAAATTCCTTTCCAAATAAAGTTCTAAGAATTTACATTTTCATGAGCAATCCATAGCTCATTTGGATAAATAAATGATAAATAAATGATTTGTTACCACTTTTAAAAATTTGCTAATTAGATGGGTAAAATGTTTTATGTTAAAAATAATTAGTAATGATTACATGTCCCTTAGCCATGCATACTTTCTCTAGTGAATGATTGTGTCCTTTGTCCTTTTAGCTATTGGAGTTTTAAGTTACACAGGTGCTCACTTGTTGTTGTGTTTGTTTAATTGAAGTATATTTGATTTACAAGGTTGTGTTAGTTTCAGGCATCACTTGTTTTTAATAAACTGTGGACTTGATATACTCCAGAGATTTGGATCCTAATCTCAACACTCTGGGGAAGGCATTTTAATATGCCCCATACTAAGGAGATAAAGTTGAGCATGTTTTAGATTTTTCACATCTTGGAGTAAGGCAAGACTTGGAGCATAGTAAATTGCTAGATAGCTGTTAGTATATGTATGTGTAATTTTTTTTAATATAGAAAAATATACATAACATTTACCTTCTGAACCATTTTTGTGTACAATCAGTGGCATTAAGTATGTTCACAACATTAAGTACGTTCACTATCCATTTCAGAATTTTTTTATCATTAAAAGCAGAAGCTCTCTGTTCACTAAATAATGGTGGTGGTGGTTTAGTCTCTGAATTGTGTCTGACTGTTGTGACTCCCATGGACTGTAGCCCACCAGTCTCCTTTGTCCATGGGATTTCCCAGGCAAGAATACTGGAGTGAGTTGCCATTTCCTTCTCTTGGGGATCTTCCTGACCCAGGGATTGAACCTGTGTCTTCTCCATTGTAGGTGGATTCTTTACCACTGAGCCACAGGGAAGTTGCCAATTAAACAATAACTTCCCCTTTCTCCCTCTGATAACCTTTAGTCTACTTTCTGTCTCTGTGAATTTGACTGCTCTAGGTACTGCTTCATGTAAGTAGAATAATATAATATTTGGCCTTTCTGTCTGGTTTATCTTACTTAGCATAATATCTTCAAGGTTCATCCATACTGTAACATGCATTAGAATTTCGTTTCTTTTTATGGCTGGATAATATTCTATTATATGGATATACTACATTTTGTTTATGCATTATTCTGTTGATGGACATTTGATTTGTTTCTACCTTTTAGCTATTGTGAATAATGCTGCTATGAACATTAATATAAAAATATCTGTTAAAATCCCTACTCTTAATTCTTTGGAGTATATACCAAAAAACAGAATTGCTGGATCATACATGGTAATTGTATGTTTAATTTTTGATAGAATCACCATACCATTATCCACAGCAGCTACATCATTTGACATTTCCCACAGCAATGTATGTTTCCAACTTCTCCATATCCTTGCTGACACTTGTTATTTTCTGTTTTTTTGTTTGCTTGTAGCTTTCCTAATAGGTACAAAGTAGTATCTCTGTGGTTTTGATTTGCATTTCCCTTATGACTAGTTATGTTGTGCATCTTTTCATATGTTGGTCATTTGTATATCTTTTTTCAATAAATGTCTATTCAAGTCCTATTTTCTGTTATTGTTGCTATTGTTGTTGTTGAGTTTTGGAAGTTCTTTATGTGTCTTGAATATTAACCGCTTATCAGATACGTGATTGGCAAATATTTTCTCCTATAGGCTACCTTTTCAGTTTTTTAATAATATTCTTTGATGTACAAAGGTTTTTAATTTTGATGAAGTCCAGTTTATCCTATTTTTCTTTTGTTGCTTGTGCTTTTATATAATATTCAAGGAATCATTGCCAAATCCAATGTCATAAAGCTTACCTTATACTATTTTTTTCTAAGAGTTTTATAGTTTTAGCTCTTACATTTAGGTCTTTGATTCATTCTGAGTTAATATTTGTATATTGTTATAAGTTAAGAGTCCTAGATAGTTTTTAATATTGTCAATATACTTTGTAGGACAATGGAAACTTGGTGGAAAGTGAAATGAAACATCTGGGCAGTCCCATTACTACAGTTTCAAAATTACATAAAAATCCAGAGCTAGCAGAAGATCAAGCAGAAGAGATATCAGATGAATTGATGGAGTTTTCACTGGAAGATCAAGAAAAGGCCAAGGTAAAATACTCTCTGATAGTATCTTTGTGTTTTTCATGTTCCTTCATTCTTGAATAAATAAAATTGTGTCTCTAATATGTTGTAGCCACTGGACTATGTGGTAGGTCTGAAGAGATCAAGAAGATATGGTCTCTATACTCTAAGGGTTACGTGACTGATAGAGTGTCAGGTCATCATGGGAATATTACTGCTGGTGAGAAGGTTTGTTAGCAGTTTGAGTAAATCACCATCAGTGTAATCTGGTGTAAAAGATAGCTCCAGAATAATAGTAATAGATAAAATATGTTTAGGATGATTTTTCAGATGTTTTAGAGTGTATCTTTTTGTCTTTTATCCTCTCCATATTACTAAGAGGAATATATGAAGCCTGTGTTATTAGCAATATGCTGATATGTCAAAGATGCTTTCTTAGGCATTTAGATTTTCTCTGTCTCTCTTTTTTTTGCATTTTGATTTTCTGAGTCAACTTCCTTTCTTTGAAACAAATATATGCAGGGGTTTGCTTTTTTGGTGGGATCCAACATTCTCCTGTCAATGGTTGTCCAGCAGTGAGTTGCACTTTTGGAGTTCTCACAGAAGATGAGCATATGTCTTTCTACTCTGCCATCTTTACATGTAGACTGTTAAGAAAGTTCTAGGACCCACAACAGATTTCCCAATTTGGGGGTCTGGCAAAGGGACTGAGAACCCTCAGGGAATTTGACTTTAGAGGCCAGTGGGATTTGATAACAGAACTTCCACAGGACTGGAAACAGACTCTTGGGGGGCACAGACAAAACCTTGTGTGCACCAGGACCCAGGAAAAAGGAGCAGTGTCCCCACAAGAGACTGAGCCAGACTTGCCGTGAGTGTCCAGGAGTCTTTGGCGGAGGTGTGGATCAACAGTGGCCTACTGCATGGTCAGGGGCAATGAATACAACAGTGGAGGAATAAGTCCTTTTGAAGGAGGTTGCCATTATCTTCATTACCCCTACAATAGTTTGGTCTTAGGTCAAACAACAGGAAGGGAACACAGCCTCACCCATCAGTAGAAAATTGGATTCAAGATTTACTGAGCCTGTTTCCCAGCTGGAACCTGGAGGGTGCAGAAGAGAAGAAAAAGAAGATTCCTGCTGTGCCAGAAACCCTTAAGAAAAAGCGAAAGAATTTCGCAGAGCTTAAGATCAAGTGCCTGAGAAAGAAGTTTGCCCAAAAGATGCTTCGAAAGGCTAGGAGGAAGCTTATTTATGTAAAAGCTAAGCATTACCACAAGGAATACAGGCAGATGTACAGGACTGAAATTCGAATGGCTCAGATGGCACAAAAGCTGGCAATTTCTATGTACCCGCGGGACCCAAATTGGCATTTGTCATCAGGATCAGAGGTATCAATGGCGTGAGCCCAAAGGTTTGAAAGGTGCTGCAGCTCCTTTGCCTCCGGCGGATCTTCAGTGGCACCTTTGTGAAGCTCAACAAGGCATCAATTAACATGCTGAGAATTGTGGAGCCATACATTGCATGGGGGTACCCAAATCTGAAGTCTGTAAATGAATTGATCTACAAGCGTGGTTATGGCAAAATCAACAAAAATCGAATTGCCCTGACAGACAACGCATTGATTGCTCAGTCTCTTGGGAAATACGGAATCATCTTCATGGAGGATCTGATTCATGAGATCGATACCATTGGAAAAGGTTTCAAAGAAGCAAACAACTTCCTGTGGTCCTTTAAATTGTCTTCTCCATGAGGTGCAATGAAGAAAAAGACCACCCATTTTGTAGAAGGTGGCGATGCTGGCAACAGGGAAGACCAGATCAACAGGCTTATTAGAAGGATGAACTAAGGTATCTACCAGGATTATTTTTGTAATCTGGTCTGTTAATAAACAATTGAAACAAATTGAAAAAAAAAAACAAACAGATTTACTGAGCATAGCCCCTATAAAGAAAGCTGAGCACTGAAGAATTGATGCTTTTGAACTATGGTGTAGGAAAAGACTCTTAAAAGTCCCTTGGACTGCAAGGAGATCAAACCAGTCCATCCTAAAGGAAATCAGTCCTTAATATTCATTGGAAGGACTGATACTGAAGCTGAATCCAATACTTGGGCCACCTGATGTGAACAACTGATTCACTGGAAAAGACCCTGATGCTAGGAAAGATTGAAGGTGGGAGGAAAAGTGGAAGACAGAGGATGAGATGGTTGGATGGCATCACCAACTCTATGGACATGAATTTGAGTAAGCTCCAGGAATTGGTGATAGACAGGGGAGTCTGGCGTGCTGCAGTCCATGGGGTCACAAAGAGTTGGACACGACTGAGTGACTGAACTGCACTGAGCATAGCCCCACCCTTCAGAAAAAGACCCAGATTCCCCCACAGTCAGTCTTTCGCATCAGTAAACTTCCACAAGCCTCATCCTTATCCATCAGAGGGCAGACAGAATGAAAACCACAATCACAGAAAACTAACCAAATTGATCGCATGGATCACAGCCTTGTCTAACTCAATGAAACTATGAGCCCTGCTCTGTAGGGCCACCCAAGACAGACGGGTCATGGTGGAGAGTTCTGGCAAAACGAGGACCACTGGAGAAGGGAATGGCAAACCACTTCAGTATTCTTGTCTTGACAACCACGTTATCGGTATGAAAAGGCAAAAAGATAGGACACTGAAAGATGAACTTCCCAGGTCAGTAGGTGCCCAATATGCTACTGGAGAAGAGTGGAGAAAAACTCCAGAAAGAATGAAGAGATGGAGCCAAAGCAAAAACAACATCCAGTTGTGGATGTGATTGGTGATGGAAGCAAAGTCCAATGCTGTAAAGAACAATAATGCATAGGAACCTGGAGTGTTAGATCCATGAATCATCATAAATTGGAAGTGGTCAAACAGGAGATGGCAAGAGTGAAAATTGACATTTTAGGAATCAGTGAACCAAAATGGACCAGAATGGGTGAATTTAACTCAGATGACCATTATATCTACTACTGTGGGCAAGAATAACTTAGAAGAAATGGAGTAGCCCTCAGAGTCAACAAGAGTCTGAAATGCAGTACTTGGGTGCAATTTCAAGAATGACAGAATGATCTCTGTTCGTTTCCAAGGCAAACCATTCAGTATCATGGTAATCCAAGCCTATGCCCCAACCAGTAATGCTGGAGAAGCTGAAGTTGAACGGTTCTATGAAGACCTACAAGACCTTTTAGACTAACACCCCAAAAAGATGTCCTTTTCATTATAGGGGACTGGAATGCAAAAGTAGGAAGTCAAGAAACACCTGGAGTAACAGGCAAATTTGGCCTTGGAGTACAGAATGAAGCAGGGCAAAGGCTAATAGAGTTTTGCCAAGAGAACGCACTGGTCATAGCAAACACCCTCTTCCAGCAAAACGAGAGAAGACTCTACACATGGACATCACCAGATGGTCGACACCAAAATCAGATTGCTTATATTCTTTGTAGCCAAAGATGGAGAAGCTCTATACAGTCAGCAAAAACAAGACTGGGAGCTGACTGTGGCTCAGATCATGAACTCCTTATTGCCCAGTTCACACTTAAATTGAAGAAAGTGGGGAAAACCATTAGACCTAAATCAAATCCCTTATGATTATACAGTGGAAGTAAGAAATAGATTTAAGGGACTAGATCTGATAGACAGAGTGCCTGATGAACTATGGATGGAGGTTTGTGACATTGTACAGGAGACAGGGATCAAGGCCATTCCCAAGAAAAAGAAATGCAAAAAGGCAAAATGACTGTCCGAGGAGGCCTTACAAAAGCTGTGAAAAGAAGAGAAGCAAAAAGCAAAGGAGAAAAGGAAAGATATAAGCATCTGAATGCAGAGTTCCAAAGAATAGCAAGGAGAGATAAGAAAGCCTTCCTCAGCGATCAATGCAAAGAAAGAGGAAAAGAATAGAATGAGAAAGACTAGAGATCTCTTCAAGAAAATGAGAGACACCAAGGGAACATTTCATGCAAAGATGGGCTCAATAAAGAACAGAAATGGTATGGACCTAACAGAAGCAGAAGATATTAAGAAGAGGTGGCAAGAATACACAAAAGAACTGTACAAAAAAGCTCTTCACAACCCAGATAATCACGATGGTGCGATCACTCACCTAGAGCCAGACATCCTGGAATGTGAAGTCAAGTGGGCCTTAGGAAGCATCACTACGAACAAAGCTAGTGGAAGTGATGGAATTCCAGTTGAGCTATTTCAAATCCTAAAAGATGATGCTGTGAAAGTGCTGCACTCAATATGCCAGCAAATTTGGAAAAGTCAGCAGTGGACACAGGACTGGAAAAGGTCAGTTTTCATTCCAATCCTAAAGAAAGGCAAAAGAATGTTCAAACTACTGCACCATTGCACTCATCTCACACGCTCGTAAAGTAATGCTCAAAATTTTCCAAGTCAGGCTTCAGCAATACATGAACCGTGAACTTCCAGATGTTCAAGCTGGTTTTAGGAAAGGCAGAGGAACCAGAGATCAAATTGCCAACATTCGCTGGATCATCGAAAAAGCAAGAGAGTTCCAGAAAAACATCTATTTCTGCTTTATTGACCATGCCAAAGCCTTTGACTGTGTGGATCACAATAAACTGTGGAAAATTCTGAAAGAGATGGGCGTACCAGACCACCTGTCCTGCCTCTTGAGAAACCTGTATGCAGGTCAGGAAGCAACAGTTAGAACCGGACATGGAACACCAGACTGGTTCCAAATAGGAAAAGGAGTACGTCAAGGCTGTATATTGTCACCCTGCTTATTTAACTTATATGCAGAGTACATCATGAGAAATGCTGGGCTAGAAGAAGCACAAGCTGGAATCAAGATTGCCAGGAGAAATATCAATAACCTCAGATGTGCAGATGATACCACCCTTATGGATGAAAGTGAAGAAGAACTAAAGAGCCTCTTGATGAAAGTGAAAGAGGAGAGCGAAAAAGTTGGCTTAAAGCTCAGCATTAAGAAAACTAAGATCATGGCATCCAGTCCTGTCACTTTATGGCAAATAGATGGGGA